GTTTAGTCCAGCTGTTTTAGCATATGAAGTTGAGGCAGCTCGAGTACTGTGGCGTGTAAATTTCTTGGTGTTGATTCCGGACTTTCCAAAGTTGATTTGACCCATCTGGCAATGGTGTCTTTGGTCACTGGACAGTAATGTTTGGTGAAACTGATGAAGAGTTGCGATTGTTCTCCCCTTAAAGTTTCAGTACGGGTTATGTATTGTCTAAGGTGCTCTATGATGCAGAGTTTTTTATCTGTTGGGTAGCTTGTAATCTTATAAGTTGTTGGTGTTTGCCTGCTTTTGTGTGTTTAAGTATTTCACGTATCGTGATCGTACATTCTTCGTCATGAAATTGTATGAAATTCAAGTTAATTTTGTGTTTAGTCTGGCATCGTTGTCCGGTTAGTAAACAGAGTACAGTTGCCAGATTTGTTGTGATATCTTTCAATGCCATCTCCTTTGTAGGATCAAATGTTTTTAAGTAACTAAGAATGGTGTTAACATCCCATATGTGGTTATATTTGGAAGGCATGGTTTAAGTTCAAACCCCTTTAAAAACTGGCAAACTAAGGGTTTTGGCAAACGTAACACCTGAAGTAGGTAGTATTATTGAGGAAAGTGCAAATTTTGCCGTGTTTATGGCACTGTATCCTAGTCCAGATTTGTACATTTCAGTTAGGAATTCAATGGCATTCGCCATTCCAGGGCTGTATAACGATAATGCCTCACATCGACAAAACTGCCAGCGTAATAGGTAGGTGCGATCTTGTTTTGTAGTACCTTTTCTCCATGATGATATGATAGTTTGTAGTACCTTTTCTCCGTCTTGAGCAGCCCGTGAAAGATTTTGGTTTCCTAGTTTTTCCCTGATTAAAGGCAGACAATCAGGGTGAGTTTCTTGAAAAGGGGGTGTACTTCTGTTGGATAACTGGGTAGTATAAGGAGACTCGGTGATGCTTTTAGTTCTATTGGTGGCTTCTCTAGCATTGTAAGAGCTATAGGATACCAGGGTTGAGTTAGCCATTTTGGCATCACATATATGCCTCGCGCTTTGTCGTTCCTTATTTTCTGTAGAACGTTGGCTAGGATACAGAAAGGTGGAAAAGCATAGAATGAATGTTCTGACCAAGTTATGAAAAAGCATCCACAAATAAAGATTCCGGATCTGGTCTGTAAGAAACGTATTTGTTGAATTGCTTGTTGATTCTTGATGCAAATAAATTAATGTCCGGCATAAATTCGAGCTCTTTACAAGAATTATGCAGATATTTTTTATCAAGCATCCATTCAGAGGCTCGTTCATTTCGCCTAGATTCAAAATTGGCAATTAAGTTATTTTTCCCCAGAATGTGTGCCGCACTGACCCATAGTTCTCGGGCAATACACCATTCCCATAATTGTTTTGTCAGATTGTTGCAACGTTCAGAGTAGCTAGTTCCCATATTGTGCTGTGTGCAAATGTTGGGAATGGGCAATGTTTAAATGTTTGTCGTCTTAGGTAGAAGGCAAACAAGTCTAAGTAATTTATGTGTTCTTTTGTCTCTAGGTGTGACCATAGGCCTCCTGTGCTAATGCCTTGCGATTCTGCCCCCACAACCTTTATTTGAAGCGTTCGTCGTAATAGTAAGCGACGGTTCCCCATGAGAAGTGGGTTTAATGGCATTCAAAACATTATTCGACCACCAATGTAGCTCAACAAGGGCTTCAGCAGAAACCATCATATATGTGTCGAAGTTTCCTTACTTAGAGTTAGTGCAGATGTTTTGTCCCTATCTAAATTTCTGTAGTTTAAGGATCCATGTAACACACCAGGAAAGCTTGAGACTAGTTTACCCACTATTTTGGCCGTGACTCGAATTTTTACTCCCCATTTCGCTTTCTCCATAAATTCTATACAATCTGTTTTTAAAGGCTTTTTCTTTTGTTAATTTCACAGTCGTTGTGACAGAGTTTAATTTCAAATCCCAGTGTTATTAATTTCAGGGAAGGGATAAATATCCATTTTAGGAAGCTTAATTGGGTAAATAATGTCACTGTTTCTATCACATTGCTCTGACATGCATCGTAAATTTTCCCTTGTAAATAGAAATCATCCAGATGTCCCGAGTTGATGTGCCCTTTTGAGTGTAATGTAGCTAAGGGGGGTTTTAGTGTTTTTGTGAACTTCGGTGGTCCACTAGATAAAAGCCCTTTGGCAAGCACGTAAATTGGTATAAAAACCCTTCCAGTGGAGTCTCAGATATTTCCTGTCAGTGTATTTTATGGGTAAAGAGTAGTAGACGTCTTTGAGATGAAAACTACACATGTAGCAGTTTTGTTCTACAAGCTTATTGATCGTAGTTTGTGAGTCCATTTTGAAATGGAAATAGGACAAAAAAGTATAAAAAACTCTTAAATCTAGTATGACCCCATGTGTGCCGTCTTTTTTCACTTTAGTTAAAATATTTAAGAAAATTTCATCTGGTTCGTGTTGTATGGTTTCTATTATATTTTTAGCAATCATTCTATCAATTTCCGTTTGTATTTGACAACAAACAACGTCAACCTCCTCACTTTTTTATGTAGCAGTGGGGTGTGATATTCACTATGACGAGGATTTCCGTTTGACATACCATACCATATATAAAGCTGGTTAAAACCAGCCTTTATTCGTAATTAGATAAGTTACCGTTGAGACACACAAAGACAACACTCAACAACTAAAAGCAAGAGTCTCGATAAAAACATGTACTTTAAATTGTTATGAAGCAGTTTTATGAATAATGCACGGCGCCTTCGTTTTCAGTGTTTTAGGGATTATGATTTTAATACAAAACATTTACTATATACATTTAAGAGATGAGGGTCTACGGTGGACATCCACAATATTGTTTTCAAATGATCACTGCCAGTGGCGTAACTAGAACGTTAATTGGGGAGGGTGCATATTCATATATTCTGTTGTGTCCTACTGATTTCTTTTGAAAGGAATTTGAATTTCAAAAGAAATCAGTAGGGCACAACTGAATATAGGAATATACACTCCCTCGATTAACGTTCTAGTTACGCCTTTGATCAATGGAATAACGCTTAGTACGTTTTGCACTTTCAGATCAAACAATGAACTTCACTTTACCATCAGTCATTCTCAAAATTTGTCAAATTGTAAGTATTATCTATAAATCAATTTTTGTAATATAGTATATCGCTATCGCCCACTGAAATACTACACGTACATAACAATATAAATGATGAAGTTCTCTAAAGAAAACTTACATAAATCCTTCTTTTTACATATTTCAGGTTGCACTTGCCGCTGGTTTGGGATGTGTTGGTCACTTCACAAAAGAAGTCGTTGATTCTAATTCAGAAGCATATAAACGAGGCGTTCTTGGTAGACAGGAATTTTTTCTCCATACGACCTGCGTTGGAGTTGTTATTTCAATCGTTGGATTGGTTCTCAACTTTAGTGGATTAATCAATAAAAAGCACAATGCTGTAGCTGTAAGTTCATTATGTTTAAGACTACATGAAGAGTGTTTGCTACAAAGTTTACATTTGTAAATCAGTTCTGTCAAATTCTTTGCTGCATATATAAGTATAATACAGTATTTAAGTTTGCCGAGGTTTATTCTCAACCCTTTCATATTGGGTGCCTTTTTCTTACTGTTTAATGGTGAATAATGCCATTCAACTTTTACAGATGGCAGCAGTGCAAGGTACATGGACGATACAGTTATTGGTCACCACCTGCCTAATTACCGTTGTCTTCTCTTCGTTTAACAACAAGGATGAAACCGTTGTCTTCTCTTCGTTTAACAACACGGATGAACACTTAATTTCAGTACTTTCTAAGTCTCAATGTAAAGTTTGGGATGACACCCCAAACAGGAAATATGATTACACCTGTGGTCAATTGATTGGTGGAATCGTAAGTTGAACAGTTGATTTTACATTTTGTAAAGGCAAACTTTGCAGCTGTCGTTTCGTTCATATAGTGATTCTTGATGAGAAGAAGAGTTTAAATACTTCTATTATCTTTCATAGGTCTCTGGTTTTATTGCCGCCATTTTGTATGGAATGGATGCTATTTTCACTTTCACAACTTCTAAGGAACAGAGTTAACATGGATAGCTAGTTAATCGCATTTAGTCCTCAACCCACAAACAAAATCAATATTTTTGCGTCATTTAGCTTATTGTAACATTTTCATGTAAAGTAACTGTTACATCATTAAGCATGCATTTGAATAAAAATAAGAATTTTTGTCCTTGCTGTTGATTAAGAGATTTGTCTTTGTAGTGCGAACTGCTCATGTCTCTGCACTTTTTTGATTTCTGACATAAAACGCAACAAAATTATTACGTATTTACACAGCATCAATATAGACTTGTCTTATTTTATCGAAAAAAGTATTTTCGATATACGTGAATTCCAATTTCATATATGAAATCAAATGTGAAATTTTTGTAAGGGGTGGCTTACCTAAAGATTGGAATTGTTCAAAGAGTCATATTTACGTCATAATTACACTGAAAGACAGCATGACTAAAAACTGACGTTAGTAGGAAACAACAGGAACATGTAAAATTGATCAAAGTTCCTCCACGGAATTCATCTGACAAAGAAGATAAAAAGTTCTAATAATTCACACAACGAGAAATCTAGTGACTTTCTAACATCATATAGTTCGGTTTGCGTTTCAGTAACAGCTTGCATTTTTCCAAAAAAGAAATTCTATAAGATAAAAGCAGAATACAAGAAAATCATGCATGAGAAAATTATGCATCTACACATGCATAAAATAATTTACGTGTATTTAAATAATTGTATATCTAATCAAACCCAAAGAAGAAGATTAACACCAACACTAATTCTAAACTCCTTTCAACCTGTCAGAATTTTGTAGATAGGTATCTTGTATTGTGGCAATTATTTATGTCGTCGCAACTAACTAGAGGAGCTTTTCCAGAAAATTACAGGTGTGTCAAATAGTTAAGGTATTTGATGGTAATACGACCGGCATTAAGAAAGTCTGCAGTCAACTAACTATATGATTTCGACTTTGACAAAACTTTAGTCTTTTACTTGATGTTTTATAATCTTTAATAGTCTTCGTGTTTATTTATATGTTACAAATAAATAGTCAGATATTTATTATATCATAAATACATACATCGAGTTCACTCATGTTCACTCCTGTTGTCGTATCCACTGTGCTCTTGATGAACACATAATTACTTTTTCCTTTTTAGAAAATCTGATAAAACGCAAATTGGTCAAGGCTTTCAGTTCATCGTTTCCCCTCCAGGAATTTTAAAAATATTCGAATTTGTAAGTTATTTGAAGGCTTGTATAAACGTCTGCATCATAGCAAAAGAGAACAATAAACAAGATGTATAGTAAGAGCTCAAATTCAGTCATGTATATATAACTTGGAAAGTTCGTTAAACGTTCAAGTAAAAAAGTCCTTAAACATGATCTTTCGCTTCGACTTCTTCGACATATATATTGTTTAAAAGTTAGTACTTTCGTAACCATCATTTCCATGGCATTTTGAGATACTTTTTCGCACTCTTGATGATTTTTAAAGTTAAGATTCTCCAATGATCAATAAATAGAAGAGTCCGATGATGCACTATAAGTTTTAATTTAAGCTCCAAGTTTTCTTTAACTGCATCGCTGCCTCAGTAATTTGCTCCCTAACAACGGCTTTATTATCCTGGGGAGGGGATCCAGACTACGTCAAATATGTCGCATGACGTGGTTGAAAATGCAGAAAATTAATGATTGTTTTTCAACGATTTATTGCGAATTATAGTTTATAAAATCTAAATAGTTTGAAGGATTTTTCACAAAATCAGCATATAATTGAGGCAAGTTTTATAACTTCAAAGGAAATTAAATGAAGTATTCTAAAATTCTACAACGTCATACGATTAGCCAATTCAAAATTCTTGCATAGAGCAACTACGTCGTTGCCTGCAGTTTTTGACTATGGTTTTGACCATTGAGTTCTAGAATAATTCTTAAATTAAACGAGATTTACCTGTAAGTTGATGTTTGATTGGAATTCTACTAGTCATCAGTCAGGAACGAAGGAGTCACATGACAAGCGCGCGTGCGTCGCTTGTCAATCAGTTTTTCTGCGTAAGGAGTTGCAGAAATTAAGGAATCGAAGGAGTCACCGGAGGGATGGGTAGTGCAGGGCGTGTGACTCCTTCCTTTCTGACTGATGACTAGTAGAATTCCAATCAAACATCAATTTACAGGTAAGTCTCGTTTAATTTGAGAATTCTACAACGTCATCACTCACGTCACTTTGGAGTCACATGAGATTTCAAAGTTCTGCTGTTGCGAGATGGGAATTGATATGTTACACGCAATGTCATCAATCAATTATGTATTATAGAGAGGACTCAGTTCAAGAAAATATTAATAAGGTACCCCCTTTAGGTGTATTTAGCAGAACCTCATAAAAGTTAACTTATGGTAAAATTTTGTTAGTAGATGCAAAGTTTCATTGTTTTCTGTAATGTCTAGTATCACTTGACGTGGTAGCATTTGACCATCCCGCTGATAGCAGGATTTGTCTCAAGTTTAGTCCAGCTGTTTTAGCATATGAAGTTGAGGCAGCTCGAGTACTGTGGCGTGTAAATTTCTTGGTGTTGATTCCGGACTTTCCAAAGTTGATTTGACCCATTTGACAATGGTGTCTTTGGTCACTGGACAGTAATGTTTGGTGAAACTGATGAAGAGTTGCGATTGTTCTCCCCTTAAAGTTTCAGTACGGGTTATGTATTGTCTAAGGTGCTCTATGATGCAGAGTTTTTTATCTGTTGGGTAGCTTGTAATCTTATAAGTTGTTGGTGTTTGCCTGCTTTTGTGTGTTTAAGTATTTCACGTATCGTGATCGTACATTCTTCGTCATGAAATTGTATGAAATTCAAGTTAATTTTGTGTTTAGTCTGGCATCGTTGTCCGGTTAGTAAACAGAGTACAGTTGCCAGATTTGTTGTGATATCTTTCAATGCCATCTCCTTTGTAGGATCAAATGTTTTTAAGTAACTAAGAATGGTGTTAACATCCCATATGTGGTTATATTTTGGAAGGCATGGTTTAAGTTCAAACCCCCCTTTAAAAAACGGGCAAACTAAGGGGTTTTTGGCAAACGTAACACCTGAAGTAGGTAGTATTATTGAGGAAAGTGCAAATTTTGCCGTGTTTATGGCACTGTATCCTAGTCCAGATTTGTACATTTCAGTTAGGAATTCAATGGCATTCGCCATTCCAGGGCTGTATAACGATAATGCCTCACATCGACAAAACTGCCAGCGTAATAGGTAGGTGCGATCTTGTTTTGTAGTACCTTTTCTCCATGATGATATGATAGTTTGTAGTACCTTTTCTCCGTCTTGAGCAGCCCGTGAAAGATTTTGGTTTCCTAGTTTTCCCTGATTAAAGGCAGACAATCAGGGTGAGTTTTGAAAAGGGGTGTACTTCTGTTGGATAACTGGGTAGTATAAGGAGACTCGGTGATGCTTTTAGTTCTATTGGTGGCTTCTCTAGCATTGTAAGAGCTATAGGATACCAGGGTTGAGTTAGCCATTTTGGCATCACATATATGCCTCGCGCTTTGTCGTTCCTTATTTTCTGTAGAACGTTGGCTATGATAGAAAGGTGGAAAAGCATAGAATGAATGTTCTGACCAAGTTATGAAAAAGCATCCACAAATAAAGATTCCGGATCTGGTCTGTAAGAAACGTATTTGTTGAATTGCTTGTTGATTCTTGATGCAAATAAATTAATGTCCGGCATAAATTCGAGCTCTTTACAAGAATTATGCAGATATTTTTTATCAAGCATCCATTCAGAGGCTCGTTCATTTCGCCTAGATTCAAAATTGGCAATTAAGTTATTTTTCCCCAGAATGTGTGCCGCACTGACCCATAGTTCTCGGGCAATACACCATTCCCATAATTGTTTTGTCAGATTGTTGCAACGTTCAGAGTAGCTAGTTCCCATATTGTGCTGTGTGCAAATGTTGGGAATGGGCAAATGTTTAAATGTTTGTCGTCTTAGGTAGAAGGCAAACAAGTCTAAGTAATTTATGTGTTCTTTTGTCTCTAGGTGTGACCATAGGCCTCCTGTGCTAATGCCTTGCGATTCTGCCCCCACAACCTTTATTTGAAGCGTTCGTCGTAATAGTAAGCGACGGTTCCCCATGAGAAGTGGGTTTAATGGCATTCAAAACATTATTCGACCACCAATGTAGCTCAACAAGGGCTTCAGCAGAAACCATCATATATGTGTCGAAGTTTCCCTTACTTAGAGTTAGTGCAGATGTTTTGTCCCTATCTAAATTTCTGTAGTTTAAGGATCCATGTAACACACCAGGAAAGCTTGAGACTAGTTTACCCACTATTTTGGCTGTGACTCGAATTTTTACTCCCCATTTCGCTTTCTCCATAAATTCTATACAATCTGTTTTTAAAGGCTTTTTCTTTTGTTAATTTCACAGTCGTTGTGACAGAGTTTAATTTCAAATCCCAGTGTTATTAATTTCAGGGAAGGGATAAATATCCATTTTAGGAAGCTTAATTGGGTAAATAATGTCACTGTTTCTATCACATTGCTCTGACATGCATCGTAAATTTTCCCTTGTAAATAGAAATCATCCAGATGTCCCGAGTTGATGTGCCCTTTTGAGTGTAATGTAGCTAAGGGGGGTTTTAGTGTTTTTGTGAACTTCGGTGGTCCACTAGATAAAAGCCCTTTGGCAAGCACGTAAATTGGTATAAAAACCCTTCCAGTGGAGTCTCAGATATTTCCTGTCAGTGTATTTTATGGGTAAAGAGTAGTAGACGTCTTTGAGATGAAAACTACACATGTAGCAGTTTTGTTCTACAAGCTTATTGATCGTAGTTTGTGAGTCCATTTTGAAATGGAAATAGGACAAAAAGTATAAAAACTTTAAATCTAGTATGACCCCATGTGTGCCGTCTTTTTCACTTTAGTTAAAATATTTAAGAAAATTTCATCTGGTTCGTGTTGTATGGTTTCTATTATATTTTTAGCAATCATTCTATCAATTTCCGTTTGTATTTGACAACAAACAACGTCAACCTCCTCACTTTTTTATGTAGCAGTGGGGTGTGATATTCACTATGACGAGGATTTCCGTTTGACATACCATACCATATATAAAGCTGGTTAAAACCAGCCTTTATTCGTAATTAGATAAGTTACCGTTGAGACACACAAAGACAACACTCAACAACTAAAAGCAAGAGTCTCGATAAAAACATGTACTTTAAATTGTTATGAAGCAGTTTTATGAATAATGCATGGTAGCCTTCGTTTTCAGTGTTTTAGGGATTATGATTTTAATACAAAACATTTACTATATACATTTAAGAGATGAGGGTCTACGGTGGACATCCACAATATTGTTTTCAAATGATCACTGCCAGTGGCGTAACTAGAACGTTAATTGGGGAGGGTGCATATTCATATATTCTGTTGTGTCCTACTGATTTCTTTTGAAAGGAATTTGAATTTCAAAAGAAATCAGTAGGGCACAACTGAATATAGGAATATACACTCCCTCGATTAACGTTCTAGTTACGCCTTTGATCAATGGAATAACGCTTAGTACGTTTTGCACTTTCAGATCAAACAATGAACTTCACTTTACCATCAGTCATTCTCAAAATTTGTCAAATTGTAAGTATTATCTATAAATCAATTTTTGTAATATAGTATATCGCTATAGCTCACTGAAATACTACACGTACATAACAATATAAATGATGAAGTTCTCTAAAGAAAACTTACATAAATCCTTCTTTTTACATATTTCAGGTTGCACTTGCCGCTGGTTTGGGATGTGTTGGTCACTTCACAAAAGAATTCGTTGATTCTAATTCAGAAGCATATAAACGAGGCGTTCTTGGTAGACAGGAATTTTTTCTCCATACGACCTGCGTTGGAGCTGTTATTTCAATCGTTGGATTGGTTCTCAACTTTAGTGGATTAATCAATAAAAAGCACAATGCTGTAACTGTAAGTTCATTATGTTTAAGACTACATGAAGATTACTTGCTACAAAGTTTACATCTGTAAATCAGTTCTGTCAAATTCTTTGCTGCATGTATAAGTATAATCATGTATTTAAGTCTACGGAGGTTTATTTTCAACCCTTTCATATGGAGTACCTTTTTCTTACTGATTAATGGTGAAAATGCCATTCCATTTTTACAGATGGCAGCAGTGCAAGGTGTATGGACGATACAGTTATTGGTCACCACCTGCCTAATTACCGTTGTCTTCTC